CCCTCTATTCACCAAGCAAGATGCCCTCCTCCAGGGATTGGTTTCTCCTGATAACTTGTCCAAAGTACATCAGACCGATTCCCTCCATCCTCCTTCTCAGGAGTGTTCTGACCAATTCCCTCCATCCTCCTTCTCAGGAGTGTTCTGGCCGTACTTTCAAGACAGATTTGCTTGTGCTTTGGGCAGCCTAGAGTGCTTTGCCAGCATCCTTGTTCAAGTGCATCGATGCTGTGGCTCTAGAAAGTCTGAAATCTATGGAATTTTGAAATTATTTCTCCCTGCCTTTAGATCAGAATTCCTCTATGGCATCTTTGATCAAAGTGCTCAGTCCTGGAAGCTGCGCCCCACCCAGCTCCTCTGGCCTGTTGGCAAAGGAAGGAGCTGTTCACGGGACCAGGAGGTGCACGTCCCTCCTCCTGTTTCTGACCCTCCTCCGTTGCTCCAGGTGAGTGGAGACCAATGGCCACATCTTGGATGGCCCCTTGCAAGCCATGAGGCAGAAAAGAAGCATTAATCGCCCTACCAGGTGAACTAGCTTGGATGTCTGATGAAGTCATGGCCCTAAAGCTAAGTCCCAGGAGGTGTTTGCTTATTTATCTCTATATCGAGATAGATACATACAGGCTCAGCTGCTGGTTTGAGGCTTGTTTTCATTGCTGGAAATATATCACATGACTGTTCCCCGTTCCACATTTGCACGTGGACACCTTGCTGACAGCAATGACAGTAACACCCAGCCCTCCCCACCACCAGGGTGGCTCGTCCCTGCCACCGTCATCGACTGAAGAACCTTGAGTTGTGTGTGAAGGTCAAAGCGGACGTTTCCCTGGCCCCCATGTCCTTATGTGCTGACCAAGGAGAAGGTGACTCCCTGAAGTGGACCCAGAGCCTGAGGAAGCCCAAGCTGAGCTCCCACCACCCGCTCCCTGCACCCGTCCTCACCGCCCGCTCCCTGCACCCCTCCTCACCGCCAGGCCCCACTACCTGTGACACCTTCTCTTTGTAGGAGCTTGAGCTCAAAGGCGGATCTGTCATCATCAGAGGGTGCTGATCAGGGGCCACGTGGAGCACCTGGTAGAAGGTGTGGTGCCAGATCTGAGAAGAGAGCGTGGCACAGTCAGCCCCCTCCCTGAGCAGAGCCTGGAGCGTCTTCTGTCAATGGGCTCCGCATGTCCGTGACACAAGCAGTCTCAAACAGGGCATCTAAGGTACAAGTACTGGTCAGGTCTGTCCCCACCCAGAACAGAGAAGCATGAAGAACGTCACCGACACAAGGAGATAATCAGTCCAGAGGACGGATGGGCCTCTCGAACCCCAACCTCCACCACCCTGAGACCAGAACTAGGTGGTGCCGGCTGCCACAGTAGGGGGTCCTGGATAGAGTGTGTGGGAGGGGGGAGTGGAACAAGATTCAAAACCATT